TTTTCAGATGTAACGGTAACGCGTTTCTTTTTTGTAGTAACGTTTACAGCACTAGTTTTAATGATATTGTTTGTTCTTTTAATACTTCTTCTATCGTCTGTTGGCTTGATGACATCTTAAACTTTTTTTATTTTATTAGGCTCTTGTTGTGATATTTTGTTAATTTTATCGAATTCTATAGGGTGGTTTCTTTTTATGTGACGCTCAAGATTTGTCCATTGACCCTTCATATTTATTTGACTATCAGTAATATTACATTTTGATGTACTATACGTAAATAATTTATATATTGGATTTAATTTTTCTTTAGGTATTATAATTTATAAGCTTAAAATATTGAAAAAATGTTATAAAATGTCAATATAATAAAGTTTTTAAAATTATTAGCACTTGTCAATTAAATGTGATTGATAATAATTCGAATATAATTAAAATTTCAATATACTTGTAAACTTGCACATTATTTTATAAGCATAAAATCACGAGTCTCAAAGCGGTTCAGATGCATTTTAGTGGTTCGGTTCAGGTTCGGCTAGAATTTTTTTAGCGGTTTAGGTTCAATAAAAATATCAGGTTTTAGCGGTTTAATGATCGATGGTCACTATGAATGTTACCTAAAAATTAAAATCACTAATATTCACTTTATAAATTGTTAAAGATGTTCTACAACTAACCATTATAATATTAATAAAAAATAAAAATTATTTTTTTGATTAAGATTATTTTTTTGATTAAGATTTTCTAATTTGATATGAATTTTTCATTTAAAATTCATAATTGTTTAAATATTTTTAATCAACTTGCTCAATTGAATTGTTTATTTATTAAATCAAGTCATTCACGTTCGTCGTTTATTTGCGAAAATTGAATATGTTCGATTTCACCGTCCATTTACAAAAAGAACGCGTTCAAATCTATAAATATTTTTTTATAAATGCATTTTATAAAATATAAAATGCCTTATTTTAGCCGTAAGACAATATTTCTATTTTATATTAAAATATATAACAATCTAATATATAATCCCCATAATAAGATGATCGTTTTAAGGAGACTATATAGTGTAATGTTAATTTTTTACTCCACAAACCTCCCGTTCAAAAGTGTATACTTTAGGCAAGCACCAACTTTAATATAAATTAATTTAAAAAATTATTTATATATATATTAATTAAAAACTGATAATTTTAAAATTTTGCCGTTATTATCATAATAAATTTAATTAATTAGCTGATATTTTTATAATTTGACCGTTATTACCATATTGCCTAATTTTTTCTGACATAATAATTTTGAAAATTTTTTCCCAATCCAAGATAAGTAAATCTCTAATAACCATTTTTTATTCTTTTTAAGGGCATTTATTGTTTTCATTATGTATAGACTAGACAGATATATGATAGATATTGCCTTAAGGTAGTAACTATCAAATTTGTATTTTTAATTTGGATAGGTTACTAAAATTTATTTATAATATATATTTTAAAAAATCGTTAATTTTGAAAAGCGTCTGTAGCCTAATGGGCAAGAGTCTTGCTTACCAATCACATGGTTTTGGGTTCGAATCCCAGCAAAAGCAAATTTTTTCTTAATCCAATTTGGTGGTTCCGTCCTTGGGGGGGATGATATATAGGAGGCCGGACTCAACCACTTGATTCCTTTATAATACATGTTAAATAAGGGTCTTAATATTTTAATAAATCTTGGTCGATATTTAGCAAATTAGTATTTAGAAAACCCCTATAGGCTGACTTGGTAGTATCTATCTGAAATTTTTTTTAGACATAACCAGGCCTGATCAAAAACCCAAATCCCATGCAATTTTCATAAAATTTTGCCATTAATTTCTATTGTGATTTAACAACAATCTTAAATTTATTTATATTCAATTTATTTCTATTGTGATTAGAATAAATTTAAATTTGTGATAGAAATCATATTGGGTGAAAAGAATGATAAGCTCAGGATGGAAAATCCTATGAGGTTGGATAATAGGATTTGCAGCTGCTGTATATGTCGAGGGAAGGTTTGAGAAAATTTTTTTAAAATTATAATGGGTCGGGCTAGGCTTGGATAATATTTTTATAAATTATATTGGGCTGGGATTGGGGAAGTTTTTCAAAATTATTATCAGCTTGGATGTTTGGGAATTTTATGTTATTAATTATGGATCAGACATTGACCTCAAACAAATTTTTTTTGCAGACCTGGGCTCGGCCTGATTAAAAAACCAAGACCCATAAAATCTGATTTTGATTGTATTTTTAAATTCATTATGATTTTTTAAATAATTTATTCCAGTCCTCAACTGCCAAAATTATTATGATCTTTGGTTGGGCTTTAGGAAATTTTTTCAAAATTATTATGGCCTTATCCCTTGCTTGGGAATTTTTTTAATATATAATATTAGGCAGAGGTGGTCAGTAATATTTTAACAAATAATATTGATATGAGCTATAAATATATTTTGACTCAAAACATAGCATTTAAACTTAGTTTTAATGCTGAAGGTGGGAGGGGGGTTATAAAATAAAAATTGGATATTATTTTCAAATAACAGGTAACAACTATCATAAGATTAAGAAAAAAAATTCTCATTCCCTTTCATTTTTGATGAGCTCAGCAATGCTGACTAACGGGAGCTCTGGTACTCTTAGTTATATATTTTTCATTTTGCCAATCAAGAAAGAATTATTTTCTCCTTTATTCGATGATAGATGAATCAGAAATTAAGATACCTTATGAAATGTCTTTCACAAATTTAAATTTTAATATTTTTATAAAATATATATAAAGTATATTTAGACCATATACAAGCTAACTAATTACCCCTCAACCCCGTCATTCTTAACGGGTTATTAGCTAATGGTATATAAACTGTTTTAATCAGGGTTGTGCATTTGACCGGTCAAATACGTTTCGGTCAATTGACCGGTCAAATTCAAATATATGTTTTTTTAAGTTAATATTAACTTTATTTTGAATATAATAGTAAAATGAATCTATATTAATTTTTTAAATTCATTGTCATTCATTAACTAACGTGTAGCTATATTTAGCAGTCTTGTTCTAATTCATATTCAATATTAACATTTTCTATATTTTAATCAATTTTCCTGTTGTCTTTCTTAGATCTTAATCGATTTCTATTTTCATAAGAATCGACCTATTTCTTTCTAAAGAAGAAGTAGAACAAGGAATTGTTAGTCTCTGGACAGGGTAGACAAAGTTTAATCTATTAACTTGAGGTCGGAATTGATTGTTTCTGGAAATTACTAATTTCCACATAATTTGCTATATTAAACATGCTGTTTTTGTTTCTGAAAATAATTATATCACTTAAAATATTTTGGTGATCACTACCTTGTAAAATAGCTAATTCTTGAATTATATCACATACTTCATTAATTTCACTGCTAGTGAGTTCTCCTTTTGATATTGTGGACCCAAATAAGCAAACATTGTGATCACATGTATTTTCATCGTTTTTCCCTTTTTTAAACATATTTTTAATTCATTTTTCCTTTAAATTTTTTAGAGTATTTGACAGGTCAAATACTCCTCCGGTCAATTGACTGAATTTGACTGGTCAATTGACCGACTTGCAAACCCTGGTTTTAATACTTTGCTAATTAAAAAAATTATATTTATTTTTAAATTTGTTTTTCAAAATCTTTGTCTGATATGCAAGAGCATTTCGTGGATAAAATAGAATTCAATATGCGAAAACGCGTTCTGCGAGAGCGGAAGTTGGAATTGTCGTGTTGTACTTAGTGAATAGGAATTTTATTTCAAAATTTTATTTAAAATGGCTATAGATCAACTTTATAAGCAAAATGGAATCCATTTATTTTTATCGTTCTAGGTAGACCGGACAGAAAAAATAATAGTTTTTTAAAAAGCTGTGTAATCGGCTTAATTTGAATTTTTTAATAAACAATCCTCTTCTAAATTATCCATTAATTTATCATAAAAAGCGATAATTTAAATTGGAATTTTTTTCTGGTGCTCAATTCTAGGGCTCTCTAAAGACTTTTTTAAATATTTAATAAAAGTTTTTATTTATCTTTTGTTGATAAAAGTATAATTACATCAGAAAAGAAAAAAAAGAAAGAAGGAATAAAAAATATTTAAAAAAAGCTGAGTAGAATTTTAAATTAAAAAAGCGATCCTTTTTTTAAAATAAGAACTTAAATTTTTTAATTAATTTGAAAAGCGTCGGTCAATAAATCGAATAAGTTCTCATTCAAAATTAGTCTAATTTTTCTTCAAAAAATACTTTCACGAACGCGTTTGTTTAAAATACTAATTAAATACAATACAACTTTTCCGTCCTATATGCTAATTAATTTAAGCATAGCTAAATTTTGTAAAAACACTAAACGTTTTTCCCTAGCATATCAAAACAATTTTGTTAAAAAAAATTATTACAAAAAGTATATTATAAATTATTTTTAAAATTCCGTATTTAACGATATCTATATTTGTTTAATTTGTTTATTATATAATTTATAAGTATGATGCATTTGTAGGAAGTTATATTATCGGTTAATGATATTATATCAAACATATGATTTATAATTATTTTTCCGCATTAACCTCTTAGTTTTTTGGAAAATTAGATAAATTTCTTTCACTCCAGGCACCATTTTTAAAAATGCTTTAGAAAAAGGTTTTTTAAATTTACTTTACATTTTACAAATATTAATTTAAGTTAATTAATTTATAAGTACTATATTTCCTATTTAAAAGAAATGAATACCTGAATTTATATAATTTTACTTATAATAATAGAGTCCAAATTGAGGAAATATGATCCTCGGGCTAATGATACACACATTCTTATATAATAAATTTTGTATTCTTTTAAAAATCATGGGAAACCACTATTGTTCAATATTTATATCCATAAAAATATCGATAAAATGCGAGTCAATATTTATTTATATCCATAAAAATATCTCGAAAAATACAAATCAATATTTATATCTATAAAAAAATTGTCTCAGAAAATACGCGTAAAAGAAAAAACAAAACATTTACTACTTTTGGATATCTAAATTGCTCTCACTATTTGAAATCAACAAATTTCATCTTGGTTATTATAACCCGATTTTATATTAGATAGTTTACCATTCTTTTTGAGTTGCAAAGCATGTTGATAAGGTGGGTTTATTGGCATCTGGACGGGTGGGTGGTACACATATTCATTACCATTGAGCTTAATAAATGAAGTATTTCAATAAATTTTTTATTTAAATAATAATATCCAACAAGTACTTGTGAAAGAGACATAGACAAAATTATCTAAGAGAGCTTAAAATTTGTTAACCAAATTATGATTATTATAATTGTCCCTAAAAAATTATCATTACTACTATGACAAAATATCAGAAGCTAGAATATATAAACAAAGTACCTCGAAAGGATAGTTGCTATCAGAATCTAACCCCCGCTCATCGGTGCAAGAGGCAAAAGGAATAATGAGTCGGTTATGAAAGTTTTCCACCAAATAATCGTTGGTCCTCGTTACTTCATCCAGATCTTCATATATACTAACCGATGGGGATAGGAAGGTAGGTATGTAATCGGAAGGTGGATTGTATGATTCGCAGACCGCAAAGGCTTCGGAACTGCTATTACGACTGCTGCTTGGTTTTACGAAGGTCACCTGATCATTTATGATATTTTTAAAGGTTAACTAAAAAAAGCTCGCAGATGGTGAAGGGTTTTACATTAGCTTTAATAGATGTCATAATTTAAAAAGATAAAAATATATGTGGTCTATATATATTTTAAAAAAAGGTAATTTGAAACAGGCACCTGTTGAAAATTTTAGAAACCTTAAATAATAAATATGATAATAAATAATTGGATGCATTAGGAGAACAAGAAATATGGCGATTAAGGATTGTACTAGGAATTCTTTAAAAAGCTCGTAAACAGAAATCGCTAATAAATATCCGCTAAAAAAATTTAGTTACAAGGGTATAATAATATAGATTATAGAATATTTTGGAGTTAAATAAAACTTAATTATGGATATTTATAATAAAAAAGATTACATGATCAAAAAACTCTCTCAATTTCAAATAAATTAAATCACTCTCAGTGCTTCTAAATATTTTCGCAACAAATTTTCCGCCGGGCTTTATAAGGTGAGTTGTTATATTTAGGGCGGAAAGAAGGAGTTGATGCTGAATATACTCATCGATATCATGAAATCCTGTAACATCCGGAGCTCCATCGCATAGGACTAGATCCGCATGTTCGCCATTGAAATGGGATAAGATTTCTATTGACGTTTTTTCACTCGTTATATCGCCTTCAATTTTTTTGTAAAATTATTTTATAAATTACGCTATATAACAATTTTTTATTTCCACACCCATCTAATAAATAAATTTGGATAATAAAAAGGCGTTAAAAAAAGTATTATGACAATATTTGATAAGAGATCTACTAAATAAAGGTTATATATTTTATTTCACGACATAAATAAATAGATAGTATTAAAAAAATAAAACTGATGTTTTGTTTTTAAAAAAATTTTCAGATTTTGAAATGAATTTAAAACTATAGTAATCAAAAATTATTTTTTATACCCAATAATAAAATATATTTGATTTCCGAACAATATTTATATATGTATCAAAATAAAATATATAATAATAAAATCCAACTTTGGGCTAGCAAGAATATAAATATTATAATTTTAAATTACGGGTTCCCTGAAAATTTAATAGCAAAAAATTAAACACAATAAAAAAAAGATGGGTTGGAAATATTTTAAATAAAACTAGGGATTAATTAAAATGAGGCATTTAATTCATAATTAGAAAAGTTGTAATAGTTTTAAAAAAAAAAAATTAGGAAAAAATGAATAATTAATTAACATTTTTAGCTAAGGTTGCATTTATAATAAGCTCGCTCTCTACGGGGTTGTAAGATAATAAAATCAAGCAAATACATCGCTATTGTGAGATATCCGCCATTTTAGCGTATAAATGCAGCCTAAGATGTCTTCATTAAGGTTTGAGAAGTGGCATCCCGGTCTTATTTATTATTTTGACGTGAATCAAAATAAAATATTTGGCTATGCTCAAATAAAAAATATTTTAGGCATGTTCCGATTAAATTTCACCACGATAATGTCTCTGTTATCAAATTAAAAATTATTGAGTATTACCCAGTTTAAATTTTTACTCTTTAAAAGAGTTGTTAAGTATTATTTCCTATTAGTTCGATAAAAAAATTTAAAATAATAACATTTTTTAGTTTATGGAAGGAAATTTATATTATGTCATGGAATTTATTCCACTAAGATAGACAGAAATTTTTTTTTCTCATTGATTGAATGAATGATATTTTATTTATTCTATATATTCCTTAAACTGTTGTGGGCATAGGCATAAGAGGAGGATGAATATACATATGGCTAATTTGGTAAATGTTATAAGCCCTTACATTTTTATCGCTCCTTCTTTCCTAAAAATGAATAGAAGCTATTAAAACAATAATTTTTTAAAAAATGAGCATAAGTGAATAATTTAAAATAATGATTATAATTATAATTTATCAGAAAAAACAAAAAGACATTTAAATTTGAAGTAAATAATGCAAATTTTCCAGAAAAAAATATTGCAATTTTCAGTTTTAATTCAGGGATGTGAACCCTCCTTCTAAAAAAATGGGTTCGGGTTTGGGTTTAGTGAAAAATCTTTGAACCGGTTCGGGTTCAGGGTTCGGAGACCAGAAAAATAATGACTTATTAAAATTAGTTAGAATAAAAGAAACATTATTTTTTTAAAATTTAATTACATTTTCCATAAAAATAATTTATCATCATAATTATAATATATTCGTGATTTTGTACTTCTCTTTGTCTTACTATCAATTTAATAATCCACAAACTACAATATCCTAAAATAGATATTATTATATATTATCATCATTTATAAAAAAACTTTTAAAATCTGTTTTGCTGGGTAAAATTTAAAATTTTTTATGAAAAATGTCCGACTCTTAAATATAACAATAATCAAGAAATGTTTTTTTTAATTAATTGTTTTAAATAAGAACTCTTTTTAAATAGGAAATCTTTTATAAATGAAAATAGTAAATTACATTTTATTTATATTATTTTTAATATATAATTTAAAATAAATAACATGAAAGTTAATATATAAAAAATAAATTTTTTTTTAAAGGCTTGGAACCTGAACCCTATATTTTAGAAAAGGGTTCGGGTTAGGGTTCAGCGAAATATCGAGGGTTCGGATTCAGTATTGGGTTTTTATCCCTGTTTTAATTATTAGCAAAAAAAAATTTTCCAAATTCATTTTATTTATAAATCATGTTTAAACATCATCCTTAAATCTTTTTAATGCTCCCAACACGTAAAACATTAATACATGATTACCTCTAGTATATAAAGTAAATTCATATTACATTTGCATGCTGGGCCACTCATTCATTTAAACAAGCATGTTTTGTTCAAGAACTGAATCCTAAAAATATAAGCTATTTCTTAATATTTTCTTAAAACTTTTTTTTGGATAAATTATGATAATATATTAATGAGAAACTAAATAAATGAAATTTAATTTAAGGATTTTTAGAAATTTTTATAAAAAAAATGAAAAATATATAATAAAAATTATTTTGATAAATATCTAAATAAATTATAAGTATGCTATTATAACAAAACTTTACCTAAAACCCAAGTCTAAGTGATATTAAATTTATTTAGCTAAGATCGAATTTAGTAAAGTTACAAAAACTTAATATATCCTCCCCCACCCATAATATTAGCAAAAGGCGGCTCAAGCCATCCCTGGAAAGTGAAACCCAAATCTTTTTACAAACGGGTTAAATAAAATCATGGATACACTATTGAAAGCGTATTATTATTATTTTTAAATGTTACACGGCCAAAGGCCTATAAAAGGGCCTAAGACCTAATTCATAGCAAGCGTATGTTCAAGCGGTGAGCTATTTACACAATCAAGCCAATAAATAGGTATAATTTATAAATATGGAGCGTTATGATGATAAAGCTATGATAATTTGAAAAACATATGTTGCGATGATAAAAAATTTGCGATACGATCAGGGATGTGAACCCAGCAAAATTTTTGCCCTGGTTCGGTTTAAGGTAAAAAAAAATAGGTGGGTTTGGTTCGGATTCGGTTCAGGGAAATATTTTTGAACCCGGGTTTGGTTCCGGTGTAACGTGTGAAAGTGATTACCGTGAGATTTTGAAATCTCACACCATCAAAATCTCAAGGGATTTCATGAGATTTTGAAATCTCACACCATCAAAATCTCACGGCTAATACCGCGTGAAAGTGATTTCATGAGATTTTGATTTTTATCGCTTCAAATACATTGGGGGCCATTTAAATATTCAAAATCTCACGGCTATTCTTTATTTCAAAATCTCATGGATTTTTTCAAAATATCGCATTATGAATTTCAATATGCTTAATAGCTTAAATTTTCTCAAATTTAAAACGTCAGATTTGAAGGAAGCTGTCAAATTGGAAATATTTCTATATAATACAATTTAATTTGAAATTCTTTTTTAGTATATTTCCTGCATTATGATATGAAGTAAGTTTTTAACAAAATATTTTTTATTTAAAAATTATTTTACCAATAATTTTAAAGATATATATGACTTCTTAAAATATTCTAAAGTTCCAATGAATGTTAATAAGTCAAACTTTATTAGGAAATGCAATGCCTTCAAAATTATACATGAAAATTTGTATTACATATAAATGAAAGTAAATTTTAGATGTTAATATAAATAATATAATATCTTTTAAAAGTAGGAATAGTAATATTTTTATTAATAACTATAGGGTTTTCATTTTCTTTGTTGGCATTATCTATTAATGTACAAAAATTTTCAAAAAACATATTTAAACCATTTATTTTATTTATTTTTTGTCCATCACATAATATTATTTTATATATATTTTAATGATATATTATTTTAGAAGAAAGAAAGGTTTTATGGACTAAAGATGAACAAAAAAATATAATTAAAAGAATACATGAGGGAGGTATATCTACTCCCAGGAATATCTATGGGAGGGCATCTGGGGATTAATAAAACTAACCAGATAATAACGGAAAGGTAAAAATATGCATTATCTTATTTAATTTTTTACAGCTTTTATTAGTTGACCAGCAATAAAGACATTAGGTAGTTTATCAAATCCTGTGAGGTTTGTCAAAAATCAAGCAGTCATTTTGATAAAACTTCAAATGTGTTGCACAATATTAAAGTGGTTCCAAAATTTTGGTATCAAATTGGCATTGATCTAATCCAGATGCCTGAATCCAAAGAAAATTATAAATATATTTAATGTGCCATTTGTTATTTCTCTAAATACTTAATGGCTATTCCTATTAAAGATAAAACAGCTAAATCTGTTGTTAAAGCTTTATACATCATTGTCAACACTCACCAATGTTATGAAGTAATAAAATTAAAAAAAACTTATTTGAATTTTATCAATCTAATAATGCATATTTTTTTTAAATTTAATAAAACTAAAATATACATTTATTTAAGATTCAGATTAATGATCAAGGTAGGGAATCCTCTAACAATGTTTGTACAGAATTCCATAAATATTGTGGGATTGTTCAGCGAATAACCTCAGTCTACCACCCACAAGCAAATGGTTTGGTTGAGCGAGTTAACAGAACAATCCAGAACCGAAAAGCAAAATAGGTTATGGATATCCCAACTGACTTGCCATATGCTTTAGTGGGGATGTTGCACCTACAATTATTGTATACACTCTTCCACGGGATTTTCACCCTATGAACTGATGTATGGTCAGAAACCTCGACGTCCTCTTACAGTAGAAATATTTTTAACTATTATATTTTTAATTATTATTTAGTTACAAAACTAAATTGAGGATATATTTGCCTTACCAGAGGTTATGGCAAAAATTACTATAGATGAATGTTTAAAAGAAGAGTTTGATATAAAAATGGCTCATCTAAAGATAATAACGGAGCTGGCTATACAAAATATTGGTATAGCACAGCTCAAACAAAAAAAGGATTATGAGGACAAAAGGTTCTTGCATGGAACCATAAAAGGTTGGATAGGAAAGGGGGGATGTTGAACCCCTGGATAGGCCCATATTTGATCAATAAAATATTTGATAAGGGTAATTATATTATATAAATTATTATTTATTGTATATCAAGGTGTATATGAATTGATAACATCAAATAATATCATATTAAAAACTATATATAACCTCTCAAATTTAAAAGAATTTATTGTACGAAACAATGAAAATGGTAATGATTTTTTAAAAATCTTTTTATGAAGTAAAAAATATTTAGATACAAAAATTAATAATTAATAACATTATAATTATTTTAAATGATTTTATTATAATTAATGCATTTCCTTAAGATATTGGTTCCCAAAATGGGCTTGATGATGAAAATAATCCACATGATTGAGTTTGTCGATCCAAAGTCCCCTATAAGTATTGTGTAATGTATTTAAATAAATTGATTTTTTATATTCGCTTAAAGATACAATTTATTTACAATTTATAAAAATAGAAATATATATATATATAGCTGATATTAAATCATTTTGTAACTTTACAAACTTAATAAATTAATCTAAACATTTCATTTGGCGACGAATTTATTTTTCAAGTCATTTTTGACGACGACGAACTATTTAAAATAAAAAGATTAAAATTATACCATGCCTCTGAAGAAGATTGAAGAACATACTCAATTTCATATTCCAGAATTTGTCAAAGAAAAAGTTAATATTCAGGATTACCTATATAAAATAGAACTCATTTTCAAGGTAAAAAATATTTTCGATGAAAATAAAAAAAAGGATCTTTTATTGGCCTATATAGGCACCGAAAATTTAATTAAAATTAAAAATTTTTATTTTCCAAATATTTTAAATAATATAAATTATTTAACTTTAATAGAGAATCTTGAAAAAATTTTTAAGGATGTCTCTACCATTTTTCTTCATAGGAATAATTTTTTTACATTAAAAAGAAATAACGAAAATATAATTGACTTTTCAATTAAATTAAAAAGCATTTGCGCTTTATGTAACTTTAAATCGCCGGTCGATGAACTCTTAAGAGATATTTTCATCTTAGGAGTAGGGTTACCCGAGCTGGACAAAGAACTTCGGTCAAAATATGCCGAAGGAAATATTACTTTTGAAGATACTGTGCGTCTAGCTATCGCGCTGTCTTCATTGGAGAAGGAAACCCTGACAGAAGTTAATAAAATAATTAAACATAAGCCTATGCAAGTTTCCAAAAATACTTATCCTAGGAATAATTATAACAACGTAAACAAATTCAATAATAATAATTATAATGCTAACAAATTCAACAATAATTTTTCTAAACCAAGTTTTAAACCTAATTTAAGTCAAAAAAAAGTAATATGCTTTAGATGCGGAAAAGCAAACCACATAGCGAAAGAGTGTAGAACGCATGCTATACAAATGATTTTACCACGGACACCTCGCCTGTCTTTTGCTAATAAAGCTACAATCGATGCGAAGATAAATGGACTGCAGCTTACTATGGAATTCGATACTGGGGCGGCGTGTAGTGTGATAGACGAGGTTACCTGGAGTCGCATAGGCAAACCAACATTATCACCTGCTTATAAACTAGTAGGATATAACCATATCAAAATCGAAGTATTGGGTAAATGTTTAGTGGAAGTCGAAGTAAAAAATATTTCAAAATTTTTACCTATTTGGGTAGTTAAGGGTGAGAATTCCCTCATTTTTGGAATGCCTTTTCTTAAAGAATTTGATATAAAAATTAACAATATAAATATGAAAGATTCCAATTTAAATACAATTGTTTCAAAATTTCCGCAAGTTTTTAAAAAAAAATTAGGACAAATAAAATTACAGGAAGCTGTCATAAAGATACAACCAAATACAGTGCCAATTGCGTTACCATCTAGAAGAATTCCATTTCCGTTGCGTCGAACCGTTGAAGCTGAGTTGGACTAACTTTTAAATGAAGGGGTTATCGAGAAGGTAGATCGAACAAATACTCCAATTACTTGGGCTACGCCAACGGTTAATATTTTAAAGAAATCCGGTGCCGTGTGGATATGCGGAAATTTTTGTTTAACAATCAACAAATATTTAGCGATAGATAACGATTTACTACCAACTTTCGTTGACCTGACAAATAGGATCGCGGGTGGTAAAATATTTTCAACGATAGATTTAAGAGATGCATTTTTACAATTCGGAGTTAGTCCAGAATGTAGAGACCTTTTAGTAATATCGACTCATGTCGGTTATTACCGATATCAAAGAATTCCTTTTGGGTTGACTAGCGCTCCGATAATATTTCAACGTTTTATGCAAAATCTATTAAAGGGAATTCCTATGGTTAGTGTATTTTTAGACGATGTAATTATTGCAGGCGAGAATAATTTTGATCATTTAGTTAATCTAGAAGAAGTATTAAGAAGATTTGATAAGACTGGACTGACAACTACGACCGATAAAATTAAAATTGGAGAAAAGTCAGTTACTTATTTAGGTCATGTTATTGATGAATTCGGAATTCACCCGACCGAAGATAAGATTAATGCTATAAAAAATTGTAAAACACCATCTAATGTTAAAGAATTACGTTCGTTTTTGGGAATGGTAAATTATCATGAATCGTTTATTAAAAATTTACATTCTATTTGTGCGCCTTTACACCGACTAACGAGTAAAAATGTGAGTTGGTTTTGGTCAGCTAAAGAAGATGAAATATTTAATGTAGTTAAAAAATATTATCAAAAGAAGATACAATAATTCCTTATTCAGCCGATATTCCTGTCGTGATTTCTTGTGACGCTTCCGAAGATGGTCTAGGAGCTGTTATTGCACACCGATTTCTTACTGGCCAGGAGAAACCGATTGCTTACGCATTAAGGACACTTTCAGCAGCTGAAAAGAATTACGCCACTATTGATCGGGAGGCTTCGGCGATCATGTTCGCTATCGAAAAGTTTCATCAGTACATTTATGGAAGATATTTTATTTTGGTTACTGATCATAAACCTTTAAAATATATCTTAGGTGATAAAAGAGACCTTAATAAGATAACAAATAACCGTTTAATACGGTGGGCCAAGAAGCTTTTAAATTACGACTATGAGAGAATTCATAGGCCGGGTAATCAAAATAAATGCGCTGACGCTCTGTCCCGTTTGGGGATAGAGAGAGAAAAAATAAATGAAGTTTAAAAAAATTTGAAAATGAAATTAGAGAAGTAAGGATCAATTTAATTGAAGATTTATCGTTCACTCGAAGTAAAGTTATTAGTGAAACGATCAATGATATAAATCTAAAAGAGATTGTTAAATTAATAAAAAATCATTGGCATATGGATAATATGAATAATTATTCGGAAAGTTTAAAAAAATTCATCTTAATTAAAGTTAATATTTCTTTCAAAGAAGGGCTTTTATTTTATAATGATAGAATCATCATTCCTGATAACCTAAAAAAAGAGGTTTTGAATGTTATCCATCGAGGACATCCGGGGATAGTGGGGATGAAATCCTTATGCCGATACTATGTCTTCTGGACAAATCTTGACCGAGATGTTAGAATTCGCAAAAAATTGCAAAAGTTGTCAGGAAGGAAGACCGGGAGCCAGAGATGTACCATTATACAATTGGAATATTCCTACCCGACCTTGGGAAAGAATACACATTGATTTGACAGGTCCCGTGTCTGGAAAGTACTGGTTAATATGCGTAGACGCTTTCACCAAATGGGTTGAAGTTGCAATTTTAACACATATTAATTCGACGAGTGTAATAAATAATCTGCGTAATTATTTCGCTAGATTTGGTTTACCTCGTTACATTGTCTCAGATAACGGTACTCAGTTTACTGGATCTGAATTCAAAACGTTTCTTTTTAAAAATAATATAAAACATTTTAGATCGGCCCCTTATAGCCCCAAGTCGAATGGTTTGGCTGAGCGCTATATACGTACGATAAAGACGCGTTTCTATGCTGGAAGGAGAAGTGGGACTCCGGACCAGTTAAATTTAGCAAATGTTTTAATTACACACCGAAATACTCCAAACGCAACTACCGGTAAATCCCCTGCCGAAATGATGTTTGGAAGGCCGCTCAGGACGACGTTAGATCAGTGGAAATTATCTACGAGAGAACAGACTGAAAACGCGTTATGGAAACAAAAAAATTATAAAGATAGGAACGTTGAGCCCCGTGAATTTAAAGAGAAGCAAAAAGTTTGGGTAAAAAACGAAAGGACTGCGGGATGGCATGAAGGAACAGTGGTTCAACGGAAAAGTGCGATATTGTATGATGTTGAGTCTGAGGGTATTGTAAAAAACAAGCATGCCGACCAACTGAGGGAAGCTCATGTACAAGCTAAAGAAACACCAATGACAATGACTGAGGATTTGGACATTGCAGAACATAATGGAAATACAACTCTAGAAAAAAGAGTTTCGAAACCCCCATTACGTTATTATGATGAATTCAATTTATAGTGGGGAGAACTGTAATGTATTTAAATAAATTGATTTTTTATATTAGCTTAAAGATACAATTTATTTACAATTTATAAAAATAGAAAAATATATATATAGCTGATATTAAATCATTTTGTAACTTTACAACTTTACAATAAATTAATCTAAACATTTCATATTGTATTTTGGATATATATTAGAATTATTTTAAAATGCATTTATTATAAATAAATCATTGCCTTTAGATATTGGTTCCCAAAATTGGTTTGATGATGAAAATAATCCACACACGGAGTTTGTCAATCCAAAGTCCCCCATAGGTATTTTACTTTAGATATATATATATTTGATTTATTTTTTAATTTATTATGTTTACAGAATTGGATGATGTTATTTTAGTATCCCCAGATATTTTTTTCCTACAACAAAGGCATGGAAAAAATACCATGCTAAAATATATGGTCTAAAGCCTCCCAAACTTTGTCGGGATGTAGAATATGGGAAACAACTTGGTGAACCCACCATCCTGGTGAAAATTTGAAGGTGATGGGAATTGTTTTTATAGGTAAAACATTAATATAAAATTTCATTTTATTCTACTTTATATAATTTAGGGTGATTAGTGTAGAGAATTGGAGTTCAAAATTCCTATATTATTCTCAGGCAATGGTTAGCACAATTTATGCTGAGATGGAAATGGTAATTGAGAAATATATTAACGACACAAACAAAAAAACTAGATGTAAAAATTTATATCTTAAATAATGTTATGTTATGATAGAGTGGACATGGGCTTCTGACACAAGTCAGGGCCATGGCTACATTGTTAAATACACCAATTTTTAGATATATAAAATATAATAATAATTTTATATGGGCCCGATATGACCCTTTTTATATTCGCGATAATATTAAAATATTTAATAATAATTTTATTTATATAAAAAATGGAGGAAACCATTTTGAAAATGTTTCAGATTGCATTCATATATCTTCCATCATTATTTAATATACTTTTATTAAAATTTATATAAAAATATATATATATATTTCATTCTTTATAATTTATGTTCCGCCTGATATATTTTTTTATGAAAGTTGTAGTTTATAAATATAATTCAATATATTCATTCTGATATGCAACATTTGATAATAATTATATTACTTTATGTTTTTAATAAATTTAAAATTATGTATAAATATTTATATCAATAAAGTTCTTCGTTTATTTTTTATTCTTTCATTGTTGCCAAATGAAGTTTATTTTAATATTGGTGACCCAATTCAAAATAAACATTACGTTTAAACCATTTAGGCTAAGAATTTATCTTACTTATTCTTTGCAGTGTTTACAGAGGGTGGGTACTGATATTTAGAGGGTGGGTACTGATATTTAGAGGGTGACCTAGTAAATTTTCTGTAACATAGAAACTTTGTTAATAAATTAATATCTATCGAGAAGTTGTTCCTTGTATAAGAAATCTGAGGAGGAACTGGATAATCATGGTATCGGAGTATTTGGTTTTGGACCTACTAAAAACTTGTTTTACAATATTATTTTACAAATTTCAGTTTAGCATGTTAGTAAGGATCTTTTCCCTATTACTAAACTTTATTTCCAAATTGGCAAGGTGACACTCGTAATTAAAGCATATCAATAATCTGAACTAGAGGCCTGCAATGGTAAGTTTTTTCACCCGCCCATCCATACTTTGAATGGGTGTGTTCGGGTTTTTAAAATATTTTCAAAAATGGGTGGGCCTTGGCGGTAGAACTTTTGATATTTTTGCGAAATTTATTAAAAATAATAGTTTTATTTCATAATATTGCATATTATATATGTTTAATTAAAAATAAAATAAATAAAGAGCTAAACTAGCAATTAAAATAATTTTGAACATTAGGCGATGAAATGCAGACTAAAAATATAAAATACAAACTATAGATGAGCGGCATGGGCTTTTTAGATATTATACCGAGCTTTGTTAAGATAAATAAAAAAAGCAAAACAATTTTTTAAAAAAAGACATGTACATGGATTTGAACATGCATTTTGAGGGTAGGTAATATAAGTCTTATCAACAAGACTACCCACAACACATATGTTACTTCATTTTATTAGTATATAAAATTATAAATAATCTACTATATATTAAAAAGAGAAATTATATTATATCGTTAACTTCAATGATGTTAAAATAAAGATGAGCTCCTGAAATGAAAGAGTGAATGCAGGGCAAATTGTCGTAATAAATTTAATGGGGGGGGGGGGGGTTTACACAAAAGTCCCGGATATAGAAATCCTGACTAAGCCAATGAAAGCTGGACAATAAGTTTTTCTCAAACGTTGCTCTCCCAGAGACAGACCATTAGAACGACAAAATATTCAAAATTATTTTAAAAATAGCTTTAATGAAATGGCAGACGATAATATATAAAAAAAATTGCAACAAAAAATGAATTACTAAAGGGTTTGTAATGTTTTAAAATAATTACTGTCCTTCAAGTCTAGATTATTAATTTTAATTCATTTCCGCATTTAATAAATAATTAGTATTATTTATTAGGGTGTTAAAAATTAATTAATGTTTTAAAGATTAATGCATAGGGCGGGGGAAATTAAGGATGGACCTGACCCAGCATGTCGGAAGGCAATGTTGTAATTGCAATGAATCTTTTGGGTGCTTTGGCTACAAATAAACCTTAAAACTTTTAGCATAAGTTTACAATAGGATGTATTTTTGATTTAAAATCTATTAATTTAATATGTTCTGTACTTGAAGTTAAGTTGTAAAAAAAATTGCTTTATTTAAAGAGAAAATCTTAAGACAATAAAATAATACCTTTAATTTGGATCACATTGGGAATTGGAGCCATATCTTGCAAATCGACAGCCACAATTTTATTACTTTCTTGAGTATGGTAGGTATCAGCATTCAGTTTTTTTGCCAAAACTTGACTCCAGCTGCCTAATAAAAATGTAAACTTGTACAATTAATTATATTCAAATTTTTAAAATCAAACAACCTATTGTCATGCTTTTGAAAATATTTTAGAAATAATGATATTAATTATATAATTATAAAAATTGTACCATTAGAATATTACGTAACCATAATTAATTTATTCAGATAACAAAAATAGTTAACAAAATTAAGAGAAAAAGTTTCAAATTTTTCAAAATTTAGTTAGGGTCATTCCATATCAAATCAATTACTTTACAACTCGACCATCTCAGATTTTGCTGAAATTTGGTATATAAGTTAATGGCGTGTTGTGATTGACGAATCCAAAATATTAGCCCCTTAACTCTACTAGAACCGGAGATATAGGGTGTCAAAGTAGCTCTGCAAGGTCATTTTTTGAAAAAAATGATTTTTTAAAATCGGGATAACTTTAATATTAAATGTAGTATATTTATCTATCAGAGCTTATTTTAGAGCCCTAAGTAAACTCTTCCACATATTTTAAATGGAATTAATTTTTAATTTATAAATTTTTTTTAAATTGCGGTCAAAAATTTGTAATTAATTTTTTTAAATGTTAGTATAAATTTTTTTTCCAATTTTCAGATATTTTGTAGAGTATCAAGAACTGTTCATATAAAAATTTTCAGAGTGGTAAAAAAAAAATTAGGTAGAATAAATCTAAAAAATAAAAAACCGCTAGATGGCGTTAATAATTTTAAAATTTAATTTTTGAAAATATAAGTCAATCTACCTTTTATTTATATCCTATAATATAAAATTTGTTGAATAAAATCGCATTTTGGCACAAAAATAAAATTTCCGCTATTTTGGCACGTATCTGATAAAGCTGCAATTTATTATAAATTTATTGGTATAAAAAAAGGATGATTAAATAGAAGTCATTTTGAATGAAAGTCCTATTAATTATTTCTTTATATTTTTCTACAATCTCAATTTTATTTACTAAATGTGTAATATCAATAAAAAATTTAATATCAAAAAAAATTAACAACCAATATTTATACCGATTTCTTTGGCGGACCAATTTACCATATTATAAGGTATGTTGATTAGTAGCTACTATTATGTAACCTCGCATAGAAGAATGAAAGAAAAAAGAAGAAAGGTTTGGACCTCTACATATTATTTTGGATAAAATCATAATCGACCGTTTTAAAAATATGCAAATCGGCCCAAAGAATTAATGCGCAATTTTTTTATTATTTATATTATAGACATTGAAATTATAAATATACTAATTGAAAATAAAATTATTAATTTCCAGTGTAATTAAATATGAGAAATTTGACATTCGAATTATCATGGATAAAAAATAAGTAACTTAAAATCAAAAAAAGAAACTAAAAAGATTTTATCCGACTAGATTCATTGAAAGATAAGAGTCGGTGAAACTCTTTATTGAACTATATTATGTTGTATTTGCAACACTAGAATTTTATATATGAAGCAAGGAAAAAGATTCAGCAGATGATGAGAATCTTTTGCAGGCTATTATTTTAAAATTTTATTTTCTTTTGCCGGTTGAGTCTAAACTGTTGATTATGCTAGAAACATGAAAGGATATTAGGAAAATTTCAATATAGTAGGCTCATATGATAAGTTACTTTGTGATGTCTGATTTTGGTAAATCTTGAAAGAATAGAGTATTCATTGAGACAAAAATGCTTTGCAGGCCCTTTTCTTGTGTAATTGCACTTTAGATTCCCAATATCAAAACATTATTAATTATTTTAACTACATTAATAATTAGTACCTGCACTAATGAAAGGTCTTTTTCAACTTTAAAAAGGTTAAAAACCTATTTAAGAAATACTACCGGTGAAAAACCTTTAAATGGATTAGCCCTATTAAATATTTATTAGGAGATTATTCTAGATAAAAATTTGATACTAGATGAATTAGAAAAATCTCAGAGAAAAGTAGACCTCTCTTTATAAATTCAATCAAAATGTTAAACGGCCGATTTGGGTTTATTTTTTAAAATTTAGTCAAAATAATATGTGTACCTTATGTGATAAATTGTCCACCAAAGAAATCGGTATAAATATTGGTTGTTAATTTATTTTGATATTACACATTTAGTAAATAAAATTGAGATTTTTGTAAGAAATAATTAATAGGTCTAACATTTAAAATGACTTCTATTTAATCATCCTTATTTTAAACTAATAAATTTATAATAAATTGCAGCTGTATTAGATACGCGCCGAATTGTCGCTGCGCCGAATTTTCTACGCCAAATTGTCGTGCGCCGAATTAACGTGATACCATATTTATTTGCTTTACTGTGAGATTTACGAATAAATGTTATTTAATTGCTAACATTATTTTAATTATTTATAAGGGAGCTATCGATGTTACTCAAAAAAGTTGCGTTTTATTTTTTGAAGCAAATGATGCCAGAAAAAATAAATTAATGATATAACCCCTTTTGAAAAATGAAATATAAAAATTAGATTGCAAAACTTATATTGCTGAAAATGTAGCAGGTAGTTCTTATTAAATATAAAGTTGCTAAAAATTAATTACATAAATTTACAAAAACAGGCTGCAGATCCGATATTAAATTGATATCGGCCGATTACCAATCTGATATAATATCTATTTTGTATTCTGTAAAGATACCAATGGTTTTAATTTTTAATAAACTTTTTACTAGTATAACATATATAATTTAACTATACCATAACATACATAACATATGTCATTTAAATATATTATAATGATCAGTTATAGTTTATATTCAATTTAATTGCAATTCTAAATAATAAAAATAAGTAATAACATTAATCTATTTATATAAATAAGTAATAAACATATTTATTATGAAATTTAAAATTAATATATCGAAGATTTCTTTTTAGAAATACCAAAATTCGATGGGGACTTTCAATATACCAGCTTCACTAAAAACAGATTCTGAAGAGATTATCGCACACTTTTATAAACAGAATGCGCAAAAAAATTAACAATATGATAGAATGTTTATTAATTATTGTTAATAAAAAAAACATAAAAATGGATTTCGATTTTATTTATAAAATTAATGGTTTTTTAGACAAAACTTTTTTTAAAAATTTTATAACATTTTATTTTGTTAAAAACGCCATTTTTCGGATAAGAAAATTTAATTATTGGCCAATAACCGATATTTTAAAATAGGTGAAATATCGCCCCGATCAGATAAAAAATATTGGTAATCCCTAATTATGATCATTCCATAATAAATATTAGAAACCTGCAGGCAGAGGTAACATTTGCATAGCCCGGTCCGTATTTCTTTAAAAAAAAATTTCAGTCGGATTTTCTAAAAATATATTACATTCATTTTTAATTTTTATAATTAATAATGGCGATTTAAAATATTAGGCTCGGCCAGGTATTTTTTTTGAAAATTATTTTAGGCCCGAACCGGGTATTTAAGAAGTTTTTTTACCCAACCTAGTTATATTTAAAAATATTAAAATATGGCCCGTAGATCTCTGATAAATATATTAATAATTTATTTTTTTAACAATTCAAATGGTGATTGTTCTTCAAAGTTTTGAAGAACGTTTATCTCTCCTCTCAATGACTTTTGTTGTATTGAATATCATTCAATAGTTGCTGAAGATTGCAGTGGCATGAGTGTATTACATGAAAAACAGGGTTTTGATGTTAAGAAATTGTTAAGGTTTCCTTTCTAAAGTTGTATATTTTCTCTAGAGGAATTTTGATAGTTCATCTAAGTCATCACACCTATCTTCATCATAAAGAAACGTTTTTATGATTTTGGAAACGAGTTTTGGTAATTATTTTCTCCATGGACGTTTTATTTTTTTTATCAATAAATTTTCTCAAACAATAAACCAAATACTGTTTCTTTTATTCATTTGGCCTTAATGATTAATGATGAATATTATTCACATATTAATCTGTTTTTTATTTATATAATTTTTTAATACAAATATTGGGGATAAATTAGTAATCTGCATCGGGCCTAATTTTTCAAGCCCGGCCTGGCTTAAATTTTTTTTTAAAGTTTTGCCCGGCCCAGCTCGAATTTATTTAAATATAGAAATTAATTTTTAAAATTGCCCAAAATAAACGATATATGTTATATGGCGTCTACTTTCTATAAAACCACATATTTTTATTTTACATAAAAAATTCAACATAAAATTAATAAATTTAGATATATTTTAAAAAATTTCTAAGACCCGACCCGAATTTTCTTAAAAAATATTAGGCCCGGCCCGGTTTGAAGACCGTTCAAGCCGGGTCTATTTTTGCAGATCTCTAGCCTAAATATTAAACAATAAAATAAAAATGAATAAAATATAAAGTACCAAGTTACTATATCTATAAGTAACGCCGTTACCTTTTTTGGGAAAAAGTTTTAAAACACCAGATAAAATATTTGATAGAATATATTATCGATAAAAAATTTCTTCAAGATATTTTGGCAACTTATTAGTTTGTTGTTATCCTTTTCAATCAGTTTACTTAAAAAATATTTTAATTTGCCCATATAATAATTTCATTTCTGATCATATAATTTATATTTAAATTTTTATCAGATTATCTTAATGCATCTGAAGCCGTTAGTAGTACAGCATTTGTTTCATAAAAATAAAGCCTTTAATAGTCATAGTAGTACCAAACACGTACCTCTTTTTTAAAAATAATTTGAACTTTCTAAATATAAATTCCTTTATAATAAATTTATTAATTAACTAGAAGATAGCCCGTCAAAAATGACGGGGAATGAGAAATTTCTTCTTACTTTTATGATAGTTGTTACCTCTTATTTGAAAATAATATCCAATTATTATTCTTATAACCCCCCCCCCTTCATGCCAGGTTTAATCCATTAAAACTAGGTGTAAATACTATGGTTTGGTAAAATTAAATTTAAAGCTTTTACTTGATAATACCAATATTATTTGATAAATATTACTGATCATTTATACCTAATATTTAATATTAAAAAAATTCCCAGGCAAAGTACAAAGCCATAATAATTTTGAAAAATTCTTCCAAGCCCAGTGAATATAATAATTTTGGTAGTTGAGAACTGAAATAAAATATTTAAATAATCATAATGTTAAAAATACAATCAAAATCAGATTTTCATGGGCCTAGGTTTTTTGATCAGGCCGAGCCCAGGCCTGCATAAAATTTTTTTTAGGCCAATGTCTGACTCATAGTTAATATTAAAAAATTTTCAAGCATTCTAGCTCATAATATTTTTGAAAATAATATAATTTATAAAAATATTTTTCAAACCCAGCCCAACCTATAAAAATTTTATAAAAAAAATTTTCCCAAGCCTGGCCAACCCATAATAATTTTCAAAATTTTTTCCTAACCCGGGAGATAGGTAAATCTCTAAAAACCATATCTATTTTTTATTCTATTTTAACCCAGCTCACCACTACTTCAGATAAAAACCAACCCATTAAGACTGAAAATGAATACTATTTTTATAAAAATATATTTAAATTAGCTTTTACCTGAGGGCCATATAAATATTCCGTGTTAAATATTACACCTATGCCTAATAATAAAAAAATTCACAAGCCAGGTCCACTCAATTGGGAAAACTTTATCAAAAAGACCATAATAATTTTGATAGTTGAGAACTGAAATAAAATATATAAAAAGTCACAATGCATTTAAAAATACAATCAGAATATGAAAGTTGCATGGGCCTTGGTATTTGATCAGGCCTGGCCACGTCTCCAAAAGAAATTTTCTGGCCAAATTCTAACCCATATTTAAAATTAAAAAATTTTCAGGAATCTAAGACTATATTAAATTTAAAAAATGTTTCCCAAGCTACTTCCAAGTCCATATTAATTGTGAAAAATATTTCCCAAACCCAGGAAAACCCAGAATAATTTATTTTTTCCTTGGATCCAGAAAGATAGATGTGATGTAGGGGTTTATAAGAATTAAATATGTCTAATATGTATATATTTTTTTTGCTATTTATATTATTGGGAAAATTTTTCAAAATTAGGATCAAATGAAGGGGAAATATCTGATTTACCTATCCTTCTACTGGTTAGCTCCTGCCTGGTATTTATAAGAAAATCATGAATACATATTAAGTACCATGCTAAAAATATGTTCATTCTAATTTAAATTTAAAACAAACCACCGCCCTTCCAAATGATTTATTACTTAGTTACAAAATATAAATTTAAGACATTGTTATTAAATTACAATAGAAAAAATAAAAAGATATTCTAAGTTAACAAATAATAGGAGGTTAACTTTAATCATAGTCAAATTATATATAAGTTTAAACAAAAAAGTTATACATTTAATCAAAAATGTTATAATAAGTTATGAAAAATATACATTCTAAATTAAATTATGAAGTTATGAGAAAATAAACAAAACTATGGAATGCATGTAGAAAGGCCAATTTCAGAAAAGATAAGAGAGATGCAAATATTTACTTATGCATAAAAATTACCTAATTAATAGATATAAAGTTATATAAAATTCAACGTGGAATGGATCCTTCTTAAGTGTTTAAAACTCTCATCTGCAACAATAAATTTTTAGATTATAAAATACAAATGAATAAAAATTTACTTTAAAAGACTTTTTAATTGACACATAATTACTAAATATATACTTTATTAACATATTTTATAAAAATAATGGAAAATTTTAGAATACCCCTAAAGTGGGACATAAAAAGTGTGACATGAGAGCGTAATGCTATTTTTGTGACAAGGCTTTTATATATATTATAGATATGCAAAAATAAAAATTTAGTTTAGACCATTCTATTTACAATTTGTGATCCACTATTTTTTTCATCTTTTATTTTTTACGCGAAATTAAAAAACAAGGTAAAATTATTAAATTTCAAGAAACATTTATTTTTTAACGTTATTAGAAATAAATGTAATATTTTCGATTATTGCTGTAATTCATAGTGTGACATGAGAGCGTAACACTATTTTTGTGACAAGGCTTTTATATATATTATAGATATGCAAAAATAAAAATTTAATTTAAACCATTCTATTTACAATTTGTGATCCACTATTTTTTTCTTCCTTTCTTTATGCGAAATTAAAAAACAAGGTAAAATTATTAAATTTCAAAAAACATTTATTTTTTAACGTTATTAGAAATAAATATAATATTTTCGATTATTGCTGTAATTCATTGTCAAAATTTAGGCATTATTCGTACCACTATGACGTAAATGAAATGGAAATATAAATCATTTTTTAAATTTCGGAAATTTAAAAAAATATTATAATGGGCCAGGCCAAAAAAATTTTTTAAGGGTCAGGTTGGACAATTCGTACATAAAAAAATATCGGGTCAGTAGGTCGGATTTAAAAATAAAAAAACAGGCAGGGTCATTTCCTAACATTTTAAAATTATTGACGGATGGGCAAGTGAATTATAAATATTTTTTCGGGCGAAATGAACAGATTCAATATTATAATTTATCGGATCGGATCGGCACCGATGTTTAACTCAAAAAATATCTGATCGGGATACATGCAAAAAGCTGATCCGATCTTTTTACTTTTTTAGTTATTTTATTATTTATATAGTTTATTTTATATTATTATAATATTTCAAAGATTTTTTATTTATTTTTACAAAGATTGAAAGATTCTAAATCTTTTTTTAAAAAATTCTAAATAATTTTTTATTTATTTTTAAAACAATGAAAATGTACAACACCCCCTTAAATTGGAAATCAAAGAGAAACTAGTAATAAATAAAATAATTAAAATCGATAGTAATGTAGATGACCTGCCATACTTAAAAAGATATTAAGGAATATTTAAAATCTTTATATGTAGATGGTATAATAACTTATTTTTCATATTTTATCTAGTATTGCTTGGTTGGGTTATGATTGAGATTGACCCATTTGTTTGGGTGGTATCTGATTAACCTAACAAAAGGTCGGGTTTGTATGAAACACACTATTTTAAAAATGGTAATTTTAACAAATCCCCTGTGGATCCACTTGACTATTGGAGAATTAATACTGAAAAGTATCCAACTTGGCAAAATTTGCATGTAAATTTTTGGCGCCTCCTGCAACAAGTGTTCCATCTGAATCTATCTTAAGTATGGCAGGGGATATAGATAGTCCATGTCGTAGAAGCATATTGCCAGTAAATCTAGAGGCTCTCATATTTATTAAAAAAATCTAATATATATTACAATTTTATAATTCATACCAACATATATATATTATTCAAAATAAAATGGACACATTATTAAATATATATATTTTTTAAATTATCTTAATTGTGGAAATATATTATAACAAAAAATGCATAATTCTTTGCATAGAAAATATGGGTTTTTAATTACATTTGGTTAAAGGGTGGTGGTAAAAAATCAATATGAATATCAGATCGGTTTTGAACCAATATCGGGAAATATCGGATCGAAGAAATATGTGGATCGGCACATCTTAATATATATTTAAAAATTCGGATAAGGGGGGGGGGGGGGGTCAAAGAAATTTTTCGATTGGCAGGTAAATTTTAAAAATACCAAAAATTTAAAATAATGAGCAGGGAGGCTTTTAGTTTAAACCCCGATATGACTACACACCTGTAGTTTTAAAATAAACGACAATAATTTAGAGCCTCCAGAGAAAATTCTACTTACAAATTAGAAAAAGTAAGAATCATAAAATGATAAAATACTAGATGAGTTATAGTTATTTTCAAGATGTGTGATACAATGGTTATTTTATTTACTATTACTTATCTTTTATTAATATTTTTATATTTATGAATCCTGAATCTAATGATTTCAAAAACTTTTATATAATATGCAAGTAAGCTGCTTATTCAAGCATTTAATGGAGGTAAATTTATTTTTCAACATACTTAGTGGCTATGGTTTCCTCTGCCAGAATCAGGAAATCTTATACCTCAAATTAAGCTAAACAAATTAAATTGAATAATTAAGAAAAAGGTCATAAAGGCAACACTTCTAAATATAAAGTCTGTTCTGAGTGGAAGTACTGGGATTAAAACCTCGAGGAAAGCTAACAAAGATATGATGGATGAAAGTGATAATAGTAACAAAAAATGGGTCTTGCCAAAAGCAACACCCAGGATTGTAAAAAGTGGGGAAAAGGGATCAGAGTGGAAGCTGGCTTACCCAGATTAACATTCAATAATAAAGAAAAATATGTCCCATTGTCTTAATAAAAAAAGTTATTATTCCACAATAAGTCATAATGGTAAAGTTTTTGTGTTACTTTTTGTTCAATGATCCAATTTAATTTAATATATTTTGCATATATATATATTCTTGAAGGAAAATAAATATTTTAAATATCCTGTCAGTATTTTTTTGCAAAAAAAGTTGATAAATATTAATAAATATTATATTAAGGGAATTATAACAATTTTTTAATATTTCATTAAATCTTAATATAAAAATTATTTTTATAAGATATTATCATACCAAAAATAAAAATTTGAATATTAACACAGCATATAAAATTTTAAAATTATTTTAACAAATGCAAAATGTATAAAATTAAATGTTTATTAATAATTATTTAAATAAAATATATTTCACTAGACTTGAAAATAGTTATTTGATTTTTAATAACATTCCACCAAATAAGCAACTTTAATCCTGTTACTAAAATAATAAAATACATCCAAATAATTATGCATTTCATATTCATATATATATATTTGTTAGAAGAATTACCAGGAGCAGCACATAAATCTACAGCTTTTGTTACGTTTTCTAATATTTTAAATTTTTCGTCGATTTGCAATAATTTGAAGGCACTTCTAGCTCTCCATCCTTCTTCCTTAGCTAATCTATAATATATGTCCCTCTTATCCTTTGATGATTTTCCCATTTTTATATCTATTCAAAAAATAATTAAATGCCAATCAACCGTGAATTTTATTTACAATATTAAAAATAAATAAAGAAATGCTGCGTGAGTAATATCTTCATTTATTATTTTTGATACAAAGGTAATTTACACAAATATATTGTTTTAAATTTTCAATAATCATAAGCAGGCCTTTATATGTTTGGTTGAGAACCTTTTTGTTATTTTTTTAAAGGTAAATTATGTTTATAATTTTTTTTAATTAATTTTCTTTAGGTTTTTACAGATTATAACATCACAGGAGGTGATTAGTGGCTTTACATGTCACATAATTGGAATGTAGATTCAGTAGAACATGTAATTAATGAGCATTTAGATGATTCATTATCTAGTTTGTGCATAGAGATAGATAATAATAATAATTCAAATTTTAATATGACTGATACTTTAATGGCTCTTCCGCTTTTTGATATTGATCATAAGCCCATACTTTATCAATATCATCAACCAGAGCAAATGATTAGTATAACTTTAACTGCTCCAACTTCCCCAGCTATGAAAATTGAAGAAGAAAGTTTAACATATTTAAATCAGGGTCAACCTTATGAGCTCAAATTTCAAGGTATTGGGGGAGGTTATAAAAATGCAAAACTATTAAAAAGCTTTGTTAAAGTTGCATTTCATGATAGACGATTACAATATTGTGAAGATAAACAAATAAACTTATGGCGTATTGATCATCCCATGGAACGTATATTAGAAGTTGATACACCACTTTCAAGAGGCATCATTGAAGCCAAAAATTTACCATACAATTTAAATATGATTGAAATTTCATGGGATCCATTTAAAACAGCAAGTGTATATATTAAAATTAATTGCATAAGCACAGAATTTACTCCTAAAAAACATGGTGGTGAAAAGGGAGTTCCTTTTCGTTTACAGATAGATACCTACTCACTTGGTCAAGGTAGTTTTCATCAAATATATAGTGCATATTGTCAAGTTAAAATATTTAAGCCAAAAGGAGCTGATCGCAAACATAAAACTGACCGTGAAAAGTTTGAAAAACAGCCTCATATTGATAAATGTAGATATCAACCATCTTGTCCTTTTACAATATTAACTGAAACTAATTTAGATTCTGATTTTATGTGTAAACCTCATACATCTACACCTGAACCTCCATTTCTTCCAAGTGATAATAAAAATATAATTGAAAGCTCAACTTCACATCATTATATATTAAAACAATCACGATATACCAATGATATTGATCCTGATATTAAGCAATCTTCTCACATTACAACTACCTCACACATGCTTACTCAGATGACACCTAAAAAATTATCCAAAAATATAAGCTCTCAACAATACCAAATAAAAAGCATGCCTGAAAAACGCAGAGATATATTTGATGATTTGTCACATAATGAGGATGATGATGAGGATATTGGAAGGATTCGAAATAATTCTAGCAAAATGTTAGGTGTCAAAACACAAATAAACAAAAAAAGAATGAGTGATGCCAATAATATTAGCTTTGCAAATGTTTACAATAAGAATGAGAATTCTAAATCAATCATAAATGAATCATCAATAAAAGAATGTATATCAAAGGATTCTTCTAGTAAGGTGACTAAAAACTTATACTCATGTAATGCAAGTTCTCATCAGACTATGATTAGTTTTAAAAGTGAAATACCTTATAATAAAATGAGTCGTTCTTATTTAAAAGAAAATAATATACATAATGAATATACAAATGTTCAAGAATTCAATTCTCAGCTATCTAAATTAAGTGGAGCTCACACATGCAGTAATATTATATATAATGATTCTGATCTCAAATTTCTTAATCCTATATTCACAAAATTGAAAGAATCATCATATTTGAATAATAATTGCTCATCAAATCAGAATGAAATAAGTGACAGTATTTATAACATAGTTTCATGTGAAAATGATTTAGAATTAGAATTTGATGATAATAATAATTTAAATCATAACAATCAATACATTCCAAGTAATTATAATAATAACTACTTAAATAATAGCTCTCCTTATCCACAGATATTACCAAATGATGCACCTTCTTCAGATACTGCTAATTGGTTGGAAACCAATAATTTTTCTTCTTTTATAATAAATAGCTTTAGCACATTTTCAGCCTTAGATATGAGGCGGCTGTCTAGACAGGATCTTATTGAAATATGTGGTGTTGCCGATGGAATTCGACTCAACAATGCTTTACAATGTGTACCACCCAGACCTCGCTTAATTTTATTTGTTTCCCAACAATCATCAAAATTGAGTGAATGTGATAATTCCACTATTAAAATCCCTAAAGATAAGTTAATTGATGACCCAGGCTCAAATTCAAGAGGTGCATTATCTTCCTCGCCAGCCTCATCAATTCAAGCACCGACATCAGTATTTTTTTAAAATATTTTTGAATGTTGTGTGGCTATTTACCCTAAACTTTTGCAAAAATATTCAATTTGCATTTTTAATGGTGGAACAAATAGAAATTTAGAGAATTAGAAAAATATCTGGAAATTTTTTGAAATTCAAACATTAAGGTATTGTTTATAAGTAACTTAGTTATATGTCATTTATGTTAGTTCCTGTTTTAAATTGCTAAAACAAAAATTGCTAAAAATTAGGAATCTTGCTTATATCTCCTAGTAAATTTTTTAAAAACTCAACTTAAATACATGTGATTCTTCCCTAGCATCTATCAATAATTATTTCAAATTTACTTTAAAAATTTGATTCTCGAATTGGGGACAATGATAATTATTCCTCCTTTTTAGTAATTTTTTAAAACTCAACTTAAATACAAGGGTTTATTACCCAGCATCTATAAATATTAATTAAATATTTCTAGGAGGTATATGCTAGATTCCCAATTTTTAGCGATTTAAAACTTATCCCTTTATATTAATTCTTATTTTTTTCTTATTAATAAACTAAATTTAAACAGGAAGAAAATATCAAAGACGACGAAAATATATTTATTGGATTGTTTTTAACTGAACCTACTCAGCGAGAACTTTTCGATAAGTTGTGCGAGAATTTCGGTGTTGAAAAATTCGAAAAAGTTACACAAATATTTTTGATGCAACGGGTAATTAATTCACACACGAATAAAAATAATGAATTGATCAATGAAATTGATACAATTAAATACATTAAGATATTGATAAACGACAACGTTGTTCAAAATATGGCGGATGGTTCTAGATTTTTATTCTCTATTATTAATGCAGACGATAGTGATTTTATTTATTTATACAAATATGAATGAATGCGATTGTGTTCTTTTTTCTATTGAAACTTTTTTGTACATTTTTGATATCTGGATGATTTAATTATATCAATGCAAATCTTATATTTAATAAGTTTTATAAAATTATATATAACAAAAAAATATGTTTTTTAAATATTACAATAGTTTTATTTGTTGATTTTTTACCATGTTAGAATGGTGAGCAAGACTATAATGACCTTAAATTCAGTTTTTACCACTACCATTTCTCTATTGAATGAATAAATTATATAATAAAAATGCGAAAGAAGTTCTATGATATAAAATATTGCTTTATACTTTATCTAAAACGAATTATTTGATTTATTTTGTAAATACATATTTAAAAAAATTGAATAATAACCTTTTTATAGGCGTATCCAGGATTTTCTTATAGGGTGAAAACACTGTGAGGCGTGTTTTCTATCATAAACTTTATTGGAGGTCTTTAGATCTAATTATTGTTAGCCTTTGGCTATATTATATTTTTATATAAATAATTTTGGGTTTTCACTTATTTCTTAATAAAAATTCTTTTTTTCTAAAAATTTTGAATTATAAGGCATTATTTTTAAAAGTTATTAACTTTTACTAATTTTTTTTATAGTGATAAATTGTATTATTCCATTTTGGTTACGCGTCCCATTTCATTTCATTATTCGATCCAATTATTCCTAGATATTTTAAATTAAGAAATTATACCTATATTTTTTACTTTCTTAAACATTTTTTAAAAATTTAATTTTTGAATCTAATTTCGTACATGAATAATAAAGAATTATTCGATTTGTATAAATAAAGAATTACACGAATAATGTATTGATTCGTATTTTTGTAGCTACACATATAAATTATAAAAAATTAATTTTAAAATTTCAAATATATCAAAGAATGAGGATACTTTTATAATCGATTTTTTGCCAGAAAATTAAGGGAGTTTTAACGTTGCAAACAGTGTACGGAACTTTAAAGAACTGAGTTTAAATGTTTGACCTGAGCTAGCGAAAAAATTTACATCTTATTCTTTTTATCCCATTTTATTAAAATGAGTATTTACGAAAGTGGAACCGAAAATTCAAATTTTTTTAAAGATGATATAAGAACTATAAAAGATACAGATTCTAGTTCCACCAAATCTTTTTCATTAAGCTATTATGTTTATAAGATATTTTTAGCAGAGGATCTATAGCTCTATCAACTTCCACATCCTCTATGTCATTTAGCAATTTTAGATGGAAAGTATAAGAGGACCTTTTAGAAAATAACATCCTTATTTTAAAAATAGTCGGGTATCATATAGGAATATATTAGTGAAGGTCATGGTCCTCCGAAGTGTTGCAGATGTTTAATTAAAGAGAAAAATAAAAAATGTTTATTTATTTTCAAGAAATGTCAATCAGATTATTACTCTTCTCATAATATGTTTTGATTGAAAAAATAATATTTATTCTTCAGTCGGAGAATTTATGGAATTAAAATCATGAATGTTGTTGATTCATGATTATTGGAATATTGTATCGAGATATATTATTATTGATTTAAATTTAATGGATAGATTGATTCATTAATTTTTATATAGATTCGTGAATTGGTATTTTTTTTGATTTAATAAAAATGATTTTGTAAATTTTTCTGTGTACGATTAACAAACGAAGTATTTACGTTTTTATCCAATTTAATTTTTTTTTAAAATTATATTTAGGGATGTGCCGATGATATCAGTAGATTACCGATCCTATATATTCTGATTTTGTATTCTATAAACATACTATTTGTTTTAATTTTTAATGCATACATCTAGTCTTGCAAAATCGCTTCATTTGAGCCAATTTTTGAAAACGGCTAACTCAGTATTTTTTTCAAAAAATATTCGCAAGCCTGAAGATTATGCCCATAGATGGCACCAAGGGTTGAACATACATTAGTGAAGTCTCGAAACTAGGAATTTCTGGCTAGAGAGGCAGCTACTAAACTATTTTTATATAATTTAGTTTATAAGTTCAGTTTGATATTTATTTAAAAGTATTGAAAAAATGACGTTTTGCACGTGGATACATATTAAAATTAAGAGTAGGTTATATTTTAGGCAGGGAAACGGAATAAGGGCATTTTTGCATTCCCATTTTATTCCTGTTCTAGTTAAAATAAATTGTTCCGTTCCAACTTTCAAAACGTTGCTAGAAAAATTTCTAATTATATTTTAACTACACATTTTAATTAATCATTAAATGAATCAATTAATATATCGAAGCAATATATTTCAGAGAGCTGCAGGCACGGGCCGAGTCATATTTTAATTTTTTTAGATATACTCGGGCATGGCCTGATCCAAACCATTTTTATATTTTGTTCATATGGAAAAAAATGATGTTTTGCACATGGGTGATATTAGTGTTGTTAAGATTTTTAAAACGGCTAACTCAATATTTTAGCCAGAAAAATATTGTCTAAGCCTCGAGATTTTGAAAATAGATGTTTTAGCCTTTATGGCATCTATGAGCAAAACCTTAACGCTTGCAATAATATTTTGTAATAAAATATTGAGTTAGCCGTTTTTAAAAATCGACTCAAAATGAGCTGTTACAACACTTTGGTTGCTTATTAAAATTAAAAGTAGTTTATATTTTAGGCAAAGAAACGGAACAAAGGCATTATTGCCTTCTCGTTCCTTTCCTGTTATGTCGAAAAAATTGTTCTGTTCCATCTTTCAAAACATTCCTAGAAAAATATCTAAATATATTTATTTAAATCTACATATTTTAATTAATCTTTATTTAATCATTAAATTAATCAATTATTATATCGAAGCAATATATTTCAGAGACTTGTAGGCCCGGCCCTACGCCCAACCCGGGTACACGGTGGGCCGTATTTAATTATTTAAATATACCAGGCCGGGGATTTTAAAACTAAATATTTGAAATCGCCATTGTTAGCTATAAAATTCAAAAATAAATATAATATATTTTTAAAAAATCCGGGCCGAAAATTTTTTTTTTAAAAAAAGCTGGGCCTGACCTAAAAAAATATTTGTCAAAAAATCCGGGTCAGGCCGTGCAAATGGTACCTCTGCAGGTCTCTGATATATTTTCAAAAAGATTATAATTTATATTGGTTCTTTGTGGTGTTAGTATAAATTTGAGTCGAAAAGCAACGTTCAACATTTACCTGGCTGCATGGAGTTGCTAATACGATTTGGGCCAATTTATACAAGATAGAATTTCTTATTTTATTCGATTCCCAGTATTCTAGCAAGTTTTTTTATTTATTTAGACGATCTTTTTTATAGTTGATAGAATGTAATCCTTTTTGTAAGTTTTGCTATGTTTTCATTTTTATCCTTGGACCTTAGTTTTAATTCATCATATTGTCTCTTCAGAAGATTTATCGGAATTAATTATATTTAAATCTTAATACCTAAAATTTTTAATATGTTCTTATGTCATCAATGAATGATTTATGGTATATTATTTTCCTCTTCGTTCGAAAGAGGTATAAACCTAGAATCTAGATATAAGGCAGAACAAAATTATTAATTCATTAGTATTTTCTCTTTTGTTGAAAGCTGAAATCAAATCCTGTAATAACAGGGAATTTATTTTTTGAATCTTTATTTTACATTTAGTTCATCGACCTATAAATTTACCTGAAAAGGCTTTCTTTTTGGAATATTAAGCATGTTTTCTTTAACGGCTCTAATGAGTCCACCATTTTTCTACAGTTTTTCAATCTTTATCGGAGAAAAAAATTCAGGGTTACCATTTATAAGGATTTAGAAAATAAAAAGAACTTAATATATGCACTTGTTAGATGGATTAAAATAATATATTTTTTTAATTATAGAAATAAATAAGATATTTATATATAATTTCAGGAAATTTCGGGGATTCCCGTTCCATAAATTTATTCAACGTTCCGTCCATATCCATGATATTAAGGTATTTACATAATGAAAGTAAAAATTTAATTTTTTATCAGATGGTACCCATTAATCTTTATTTAGAATAAATTTAAATTATTGTTTCTAGAGATACGTTAAATATGGTACTGCCGGTGGCTTAGTCAATATTTATCCATGTGGTGGGGGGGGGGTCAAATTTTTTTAGGGGCTTCGCCCTCAAATCGTATTTTGCCCGGCCTACGGCCGGTTCTCTCCTATAAAAAATATTATATATCAAAATTATTAGTAACAAAATTTTAGTGAACCTTACGATTAAAAAGCGACTGAAAGCATTATTCAAAATTTTATCAATGTTTAGTGCTGTGTTGTAAATTAATTTAATCGGAAAAAAATTGCATAATGCTAGAATTTAAAAAAAAACTATATATCTGTTGTACGCTAATATTTAGTGCCTGACTAGTAGTTTTAATTACTCAATCAAATATGAGAACCAAAAAAAGAAATTGAGATGTAAACAAAAGATGGCTACGACGTCACGGTTTAAGTAAGTTAACCTTATTTTTGGAAAATCTGATACATACTAAACCATTAAGTGGGGCTTCATTTTATTGTTTTATTCTGTTTAGTAAATGATTTAAAGGAGAAGAGAATTATTGGTAAAAAATAAAAAATTGACGAAATTAGATTCATAACGGAGAATATAGTTATAACTATCTGTTTGGGTTTATATTTAATACCTTATCAATTCTTTTTCGTCAGCCACAAAATAAGTAACCGAATTACTAACCAAAAACAATCTATGATATCACTCCTTAAGCTAAAGTCATTGAAAGATATGGACTCTATTATTTATGTCAATAATTAGTGCGTATTTCATACTTTTTATGGCTTCAACCCGTTTGATAGATTTTTTAAAAAAATCATTTTGGCAAAATAAAAATAAATTGCCAAGATTGACATTATTTTAGAAGGAAAATTATAAATACAGTGAACAATATGTAAGGTATGATTAGTATCAATTAATTCATCAATAGATAAAGACCAGTTATAAGCTGAATAAAATCACGGCACGTCTTGTTGAGTCTTAAATATTTAATTTTAACTTATAACTCAAAAATCAATTACGTTTAAAAGATCTGCATTCCCTCTTTCATTACAGATTGTGTAAAATAAATATTTTGTCATTTTCTAAAGCTCTGGAGCCATCTAGAATTTTAAAAATTGTAAATTTTTTATAAAATTTAGAACTACTTCATCAAATATTTTGCTGTAAATTTTATCTTTTTTTTAGCAAGACAAGGACATTCAGGATGCAATTTTTGCTTCGCATCTATATAAGCTAAATTAATAATGCTGTCTCTGTTTTCGGGAAGATATTTTTCCTGATTTTCTTAGTTGCTGGTGGTTTATTAGTAAGCATTGTGATAATATGCTTCCTTTATTGGATTCTATTTTATAAGTTATTCTAATAACAATTTAAGCACAAAATAATCCATCTTGGATTGAGATCAGATGTTATTAAGAAAAGGAAAGATATAAATAATTCCAATGGTAAATTCAAATTTATCAATTCAAACATTGTAGCCTCGCAGATCACATAGAAATAGTGTTTTTAACATATAAATAAGACTTAAAAATTTTAACATTTAACAGATTTTCGAAATTAACCGATTTGCATTTTCTGATTAAACAAAAAAATCAATTTCGAAATATTAGGTTATAATTTTAAATTATTTAAAAATTCATGGCCGTCTTTAACAAAATTTTATTTATTTATTTATTCAAAATATGTTATTATATATGCAGTTTACATGTTATTCTAGTTACTTTATAATTTAGATCATTAAGAAAGGGTAAAATTTAATATGATTCTAACGAATGACATTATACGAATTTGTATAAAGAATTTATCATATTACTTTTAGACATCAGGACCCATTAATAATAAAAATCGTAATTAAATGTTCACTTGGTACTATTCAATATTGTAATATTCATAATTTAATTTACCATGAACTTATTTTATTTACCTTTCATATATAGATATTACTTTTTTAATCGTTTAGGTTTTAGAATGAAAAAAATTTATAATATTAATTTTATAAATAGGGTAATTAAAAACAATAACGCCAGCTTGCGAATTAAACATTATTGAATTATATATTTTACTTTTTTAAAAATATATAATTATTAATTTATATTACTTTATTATTGAATATATCTAATAATTTAATTTTTATAACTTATTCAATTTTGAAATCATGATACATATTTATTTTTCTATATTAATACCCTATATCAAATCTTTATTTTATTATTAACATGATTATACTAAATCTTCTAAAATACAAATAAAGTAAAAAAATCAGGTGACATGCCAAAAAAAATCTCCAATTTTTTCTCGAAAATGTTCTCACAAAACGTAGACAAAATGTCAATTATAAATTGAGAGGTTAGATCAAACTGGTTGAGAAATACAAATGATCTAAAAAATACAAAAATAATTATTATTTATTTTTCTGCTCCAGGAAGCTCCATATTTTTTCTTAACCATACTTAGTATTATCATGGTATTGTTAATTGTCATTTAATCTTAATGGTTGGTGGGCCATAGCTTGATTAGTCATTTCCCATTATACAGCATCAGTCTCCTTTCATATCGTTGATCATTCTATTGTAGGCTTGGTGTCATTAATTCAACATTATTGTGGTTGGACAGAATATTTAAGTAAGTCTATGTCCAGAACTACCTCTCCCTTATCAGTCTAATCAGAAATTTCAACACAACTTTCTGATCCCAAAATTCATGAGGTTTTTTATTCCTATGATCTTCTTTCTAAAATAATGTCACATATTTATACTAAAATTCCAAAAATAAGCAATATTCTAATATTATCTAATGGCTTCCTTTATATATAAAACCATATCAATTTACTATTTTACTTTACATATATATATATTATATATAATATTACGCATGCATATACATAAACTTATAACATTATTCGTTTATTTCAATTTGAACTATTTATAACCCATTCTTTACTTTCAATCCATCTTTAACTCATATTCAATATCTAGCTTTACTTATTTTTAATTCTAACTTTCATATCTGGGATTTGCCAAATTTTTTATTTCATCACATTATTTTTTATAATTAATTTAACAATTTTTTTATTTTATATATATATATACATTATACGAATATTTTACATCCATAATTTCATTTCTTTTTTTAAAAACATAATCCATAATTTTCATTTTATTTTAAACATCAACAAAATGTTTCATACAGCGTCTACACATTAATGGGGGTGGTAGGAACAATTTGATTCTATTTTTTTGAGGGGGGGGGGGGGGTAAGGGATCGGCATTTAAAGGGGGTTGACTAGGGGTAGGATAAATTTATTGGGGGAATGTCTATTAAATTTTTAGATATGCTGTATAAATTAATACTTTTATTATTGATGTATTTTAATATTGCTAATAATCGACCAAATCCATATTTTCTCAAAAAAATTATTTCTAGATAATTTCATGCTATCCCTTTAAATGTAATTTAAAAGAGGGTAGGCATTCAGTAAACTCATATTCATGCCAACAATATACTATAATAAGGCATTTATTGTAAATGAGAGGGGTTATTAATTGAATTTAAATTCTAAAAAGTGGATATTTTAGATTCACAATATTTTGATAGTCGGTAATATTTATGAAGGGAGTACCATTATAATTAAAAAGACGTAATTAATAATGTGAGAATATCGATACCGAAAGCGGAGGGTATTTTTAAGGGGGGGGGGGGTAAATATGAACTTTTGAGGGGGTTTGCATCCAGTAAAAACCCTGTCATGTAGAATATGGTTTCATACCATAATTTTTATTTTATCATTTAATTTAAAAATATCAGTTATCACAATATTCCCCTTTTTCTTTACATTATACTTCAAAAAAATTCATTCATACTAATTATAATTCAAATTTAAATATTAAGAAATCTTTTCTGTGCTGCAATACATAAAGCTTTTATGGATGCTTACACCATTCAATGAATATTAAAATTTACAAAATAAAACCTATCAAAATATATGGTTTAAGTTAAAATCAAAAAGTAATATATAATGGTTCCTTCATTTATATACTAGCATTAATAACCCGGCAATATTTAATGGTCTCTCTATTTATATGCACATAACTTCTATAAGTAAACCTATATCACCGTAATATATACTGGTTCCTCCATTTATATACCATCAATTATAAAAATACACTCATTTAAGCCTGTTTTACTTTTTATAACTTATTAAAAAATTGAACCCTTTTTGCACTCATACTTTACTGTCTATCTTGACTTGTCATATTTATTGTAAAATAACCTTTATGAACATTTTTTTTTTCAAACAAAATCCCTTTCTATTACAATTTGTTCATATTTTCCTCTTATTTTTTAATCACATATAAATCCATTTTTGGATTTCAACTATTTTTCCTTTTAATTTATAATATACTTAATTCTTTTCAAAATGTATACATTTTTTTTAATTTATAATTTATAATCTATTTATCATTTTCTTGTTTCACATCCTTAAATTAACACCATAATTAATTTCCTTTTTTTCAACATCCTCCTCCCTTTTCCTATTCCACTCTTTCTATCTTATTTTTCCTTTTATAACATCTATTAAAATATAATTATTTTACCTTTGTGTACATTGCGTTAATACAATACTCAAGTTTTATTTCGTCTCCTTCTCAGGGCACTAATGTTGAAATCATTATATATATTTACATACCAATATTAATATCCAAATCTCTCATTTTATTAATACCATATCCATACTAAATCTTATAAAATATAAACAAAGGAAAAAAAAATCAATTATTTCTCGAAATAATCTTTATAAAACGTCCATAAATGTCAATTACAAATTAACAGATACAGCGGTTTGTATCATTAGAAAATGAATCTCAACTCAATTAAAAGAATATATAAAAAAACATTTTTACTTAAACACTTGCAGTTTATTTTGGCATTTGTATATTATATAGGCATTTGCAGGTTAGTCAAACCAACATTTTTACCTTTATCATACAATAAATAGTTTGCTATTAATATGATCTATTTATCAATATTTTATTCCAAAAATAGTGTGCCATTTCGTTCCTTATAGTTCTTTCCAACCTTTTTCATCTTATCATATAGCCTATATTTCTCCATCGTTTTTCATTTTTTTTATTTAACATTTTAATTTATTTTATAGAAGAAATAAAAGTATTTTCGGTTATATTTTATAGCAAGAAAAATCGAAAATAAAACTGGGGAAATTATTGTATAAAAATAGGTTATGAAGAAAAGAAAAAAAATTATTATTAACTTTTGAATATAATTATTTTTATTTTACTCTTTTAATAAAGAAATCTTATATAATTAGAAAATGTGTATAAAAATGTTATGAAAGCTCGGCTTGAATTATTTATCAAATTGCTCCGTACTAATTTTTTTTATGTACGACTTGCCCGACCCGCTATAATCTATCCAAAAATTTTCCAGGTCCACGGGCCAGACTTGGCAGATCTCTAATTGATATACAATATTTTATTAAATGAAATTATAGGTATAAAAGAGAGTAGTCAATAAATGCACTCGCATTTCACTCGGACGTTCAAATAAAATATATTTCTTTAAATCTTATTCATCATTACATTAACCAAATATATATTTTATCCAGTGTCTTTAGTTAACCTGACGGATTAAAACTAATCGGTCCCATTTGATTTTTGAAATCGGGTTTCATCCGGCCAAATTTTTTTGGTTCATTCAATGGTATGGGCCGCTTTCATTTTAACAATCAAAAATTATATATATTAAATAAATAGACCTTTTTTTATTATTATTCATTTCAATATCCAAAAAAAAGAGGGTATATGTGTGTATAGTTCTATAATATATAATAATATAATACAAATTGCGAAGACATGCGTTTAAATCAATAATATTTAAATATATATTTTATTTATTAATATAAGGTATATAGTATATATAAAAAGGACAAAAATTTGTAACAAAAAAAAATATTACAAATTTTCGTTTCATTTAAAATATACAGTGGCCCGCCTATATTATAAAAAATGATTACAATAGAAAAAAGAGAAATAAAATAGATTGGAATATCAAAGGTTAATGGCAATGTATATTCTTGTGGCGTTCAGACTTTTTTATTGTAAAATCTTATATTAAAACCTTTGTAATAATTTGTTGAATTTTTGAGATAAAAAAGAAATAGTTGGTCTTATATTATATTAATAATACTGCAATGCATTTCTAATCATAGCTAAAAATATAACAAACTTCATTATAAATGAAATCGAGGCATTAATATAGAAACAAACATGTAGTAATAAAAGTAAATGTAAAAAAACAACTATTAACAGAAGATATTAGGAGATTACTATTATGAGATTTAGTCTGGTTTAAAAAAATATTATTATTATTATATATATATAAATATATAAAATCCATGCATAAGATTTCCTATATTTATTTAAGGAGATTTAATTTTCTTTAATAATTATTGCACTTTTGAATTTTTAGTATGTTTTATAAAAGGAACCTTCTTCTTCGGTTAAATCCTTTTCGGCATTTCTCAAAAATCAAACTATCTTTCACTATTTTCGTTATCTTCATTTTTGGAAATTCGGTTAGGTGGTATGGGTGAAGTGTTAATCGTTTCAGGTATAGAATACTAAATAAAATATGGTTAAAAAATAGTATTAATTTGACCAAGTTAGATTAATTTAAAAGAGAATGTTATTGATTTCAAGGTTAAATAATATAATCATTTTTCTAAGTAAGAGCTAGTTTTATTTGGTATGTGAGTAAATAATTGTAAGCATGTATCATTAAATCTCTGGCTTAAATCAAATAACCTTTTAGTACGCCCATGCTTCGACATTATTTGGAACAATATTTTACATAAACCTAAACCAACCTGATCAACATTGTAATCGATCAATGATATACATCTGAGTATTTCTTTAAGTGATGCTCCGAAGGGCCTGAAAAAACCTTCCCTTCCTCTATTATCGCTATCTAAATCAATATTTGTGGTATCAGCGCTAACAGTAGTCCCATCTAGGGAATTGGGCATAAACCGACCGTATAAATCATCCAAAGCTGTGTTTTGGGATAGATTTAACGCGTTTTTTGTCTTTCCTTTAGATGGCGATTGAGATTGATAGGAAAAAAGTAGGGGGTCGTGACTATACACATTATTGACCAAGTTCAAGTCATGGTAGGTATTAGTATGACTAAATGTGTCTAGAAGTAGAAGAGGTGCGGATTTATGTCTAATGTTTGATGATGGTGACGAGGAAATTGTTAGTTTTAAGTGAGATGATCGTTTTTTGCGTCTATAAACGATATAGTTAAATTTAATATATTAAAAAAATATCAAGTTAATAAAAAAAATTTTTTTTTACTGTAATATCAAATATAATCCAAAAATCAAAGTCGCGGCAAATAAAAGAGCTGCTATCAATCCACTAGTTATACTAGCTTTCATAATCGTGTTTGTATTTTTCTCTATATTAAGCAAAAAATAATACAAAATATAAAAACAAATTAATGTTACTATCTTTTCCTAATATCAGAGTAAATTTTATTTAAAAAAATAACATACCTATGTAATAATGGCAGTCGGTACCAAAAAAGGGCGGTTTGCAGCTTAAAAAAAAGACAAAATTATATTTAAAACACTGAGCTATTAGTTATAAACAAATGTATGAAATATATAATTAACGTTATGCCCACTCGTGTCGTCAAGGACGAGCAAAAGCGTGCATTTAATCACGCCTATGTAGTGTAATATAATGGGCGGATCAATTTTGAAGGGCTTATCAAAACGCCAAACCTTGAAGGGTGAATTAGTTTGTTTCTTCGATTTTCCTCAAGGTAAGACCTTCTAAGGGTTTCAAGACTGAGGTTATAGTTTTCGGTTAAAAAACAGAGTTTTTACGATTTATAAAAACTAGCCTAAAGAATTACTGATTTTTCTATCATCAGTGAAGGTTATCAAAATGATTTACAAAAACTAAAAGGTATAGTGGCCAATGGAAAAATAATATCATATTCCAGTCTACTTAAAAATCGGAACCTGGAAGCATCTTAAAAATATTTTGTTCTATTTGCTCGACCAGCTAGTAATTGTATGGCCCACCAGAAATTTTTCAACTTCCATTTAAATATTATCACCAAAAAAAGGAAAATACAAATTTGCTACATGAGGCAAACATTTATAACCGTGTATTAATATGCCTGAACTGTTAAAATATTGTATTAGTTGCCCGGTTCTGTCCGCCAAAATTTTTGCAAGTATTTAAAAAATTACGTTTTCATATTTTCATATAAAATAATATAAAATAAATATTTAATTATATTATGAAAGATCAGAAAATTTAGGTGGAGATAAAAAATTCAGAATGATTTTTAAATAATTGATGCATATATGAATGTAATATAAATTACTAGCAGCGGCCTTCTTGACAATATCCTTTAGGACCACATGGCATTTGGTTATGGGAAGTTGATTGGTTACAATCTTTATGCTTTGTAGTAAGCGTTTCATTCAGTGATATTTCACTAGAATAATTGAAAGATATTCGGTAAACGCCCGTTGAAAAATGGTCAGATGTGTTTTTCGTAATCGAATTTGAAGGGTTGGAGGAATTGGACCAAACGGAATGATTAGAGAGCAAGAAAGTGCCCCATGGTGGTGTGGAAATATACGAGTATAAAAGGGATGAAATAGAGGTAAAGGAAAAGTTTGTTTCAATGTCGCCTATAAGGTGGGAAGCAATCGGAGGTCTCATTTTTACGGGAAATCGACGAGAACATGCACCTTATGGAGGTCATGTTAAATAAAAAATCCAAAACAAAAAAAGATATAGTTGTTATGTATTATTTGTAAATGACCCGAACTCAAATTGGTTGGCCAGACATTCTTTTCTGATTTGGTCGGGTGAGATCCTGGCTTAATATGTTTGGACTCAAGTCTAACCAATAAGGTCCGATGCTGAATGAGAGTGGACACCCAGACCCAAGCTTAAAAAATAAATCGGACTGGCTGGGCTTATTTTATTTTTTTAAATGTCCTAATTATTTTTATATTAACTTAAAGTGAGTTTGATTTATATTTCTTCATTCAAGATTTCAAGCCGGGCTCCTGTCTAAAATCAAAATATGGGCCGGGTTCATTAAAAATTTCTAACCGCATCTGGCTTATAAATTAATGAATAAAATTAAATTTACGAAGCTTTGTGCAAAACTAAAATAATACCTAGTCTTAATCCTAATATAATTAAAATTATTTTTCTCAAAAACCTTAATAACGGAAAAAACTTGGTAAATAGGTATAATTAAGGGACACGTGACTATCATTATTCTCGTAAAGTTTTTACGGCTTGGTTTAAGTGTCAGTAAACGAGTCGCCATCTTCATATAATGAAAATAATGTTAGTTTCATGCCATGTGATCTTAACCCACTTGCTTAATAAAGAAATTATTCATACTCGTATAATTCATCGGCGTTAATAACAAAAACAAGGTCATGTAGAAGGTGTATAATCGAATGGGTAATGTGAAAGATGAAATGGATTTCTTTTTCACGCGTTTTATGTGGTAGAGTACCGAGAGCGATGAATCTTTTCTATTTTTCAGAAGCTCACAAGGTAGATGTTCCGTTCGACGCGAGTTAAATTTAGAGGACGTTGACACGTATACAAAATCATGGTAATTATTTTGATCTTTGCGATGATTAGTTGGGTATTTAATACGATTTGGCGAGATGCGATATGATTCTTGGACAAAACAAGGGCGGATAAATAATAATACATCCAAGAGCATAGAAGAATCCCAATATTCTTTCGTTTTCATTTGGTAAAATATATGGTTTGGATGTTCCAGCATCATTTTAGAGGCGACTTAAAATGCATCAAATTGTCCATTTTTAAATCAAATGTCTATAATGAGATATAATGTGATTTTATAATTGAGTTATTAATTAAATTAATAATTTATTGGCGAGAAATGAATAGATTTTTATACTAATCATAATCATGTTTTATTTATTTTTTATATTATGCTATTTATGATTATGTATCAAATTTATATGAACTTCTCTTCAGGAGAAAAAAAAGGAATTACAATTTTTTTTGAAAAGGATGTTTCACATCATCGAGGTGAACAACATGGTTTGTCATAGATCTTACTTACAATTTTTTAAAAAAACAATATTTTTGTCTTAGTAAGCAAAAGAGAAAATATTCAAATTTTTCTTAAAGAATGAAGTTTAATATAAAAGCATAGTTTCATCAAAATTCATAAATGGTACTTAAAAAGAAATATTATAAGGACAAAATGAAAAAACTTAAAGTTATATAATTATTTAAATTAGTCATAAATAGATATTTTAATGCAAAATTTAAACGTTTCCAATTATTATTTTTTGAAATATAATTATATCTTAAACGGAACATATCCAAAGCTTAATTCATGGTTAGAAAGAATAAAGCAAGCAAAGAGCTATTTTGTTATAGAATATTTGTATGCCAAAACAAAAAATCTTTGTTTATTTTAAAATTATTTTTGATTTTCTGATTATTGGCAGATAAAGTATCTTAGAATATAAAATAAAATAAATGGAATGCTTTGAGTCTGACATCTAAACCTCATTTTAATAAATTTATTGTTATATTGTATTTAAAAAAAAGAAAAGATTTTATCTAAATTGTATGATCAAAAAAATATTTTTTCAAAAAATATAGACTAGTTGGTAATATATATAAAAAATAGTATTAACGTACGTATAATTAAATATATATTATAAATGGAAAACTCATAATCCTCCATCATTCTCACCTGTTTGTCAAATTTATTATATTTTTTATATAATATGGATAAATGTAGATTTTTCATATAAATTAGTTATTATTATTTGTTAGATTATGTTTGATTAACTAATTAAATTTATGTACCTTTTCGTTAAATAAATGTTAATTGAATTATATTTTTACAACATAAAATAAAATTCAATTTTTTTCTTTACCTTTTTAACATATTTTTTGAATATAATATTTAGTATTAGTTAAATTTATTTAATATATTATATAAAATTATTATTGTATTGTAACCGTAATGAACTCGTTTTTACATATTTTTAGACAAGTTTATTATATTAAATGTATTTACAATTTATTGTTGTATGTAGCATAAATTAAATAATTTTATATTAATTAATCCTTTACAAGTTACGTTTTATATTATAATATAAAATAAATAAAAGGAATTTGCAAAGATGCAGCTGATTGCGATAAAAAAAGGAAGGTTTATTAGTTATACTTTTGTATTATTTTATATTTTTTTTATAACGTTTGGTAAATTTTATTAAAAATCCCTATAAATTGTGGAAGGTAAAAAATAGGCCAAAAAATTTAAAAACTTTATAATATTTTGTTAACCCACCCCCTTAATTTTCTCGATACCTCTTATAATTTAAATGTACATGGGTAACCCTTATGTATATCAGGATAGGATTTAAATCCACAAGGTAAATTACTCACACAGATTTAAAAGGCAATAAAACTTATACTTTAAAATATAATTTGATAAAATTATGTGAGATAAGATAAAGGATTTACAGATGACATATAATTGACAGTGAATAATGACCCATCCAGAATGGGAACAGTTAAAAAGTTAATTGGAAAACTAACATTACTATTTATAACATACGAACTATTTAAGTAAATTTACAAGCTTTGAGATTGTTACAAATTAAGATAAAGTTTGATCTGGGGAAGAGGGAGGGGAGTTGTGGGAACCTGATATTGAATATTTTTATATAAAATATCAAAATATTTATACAATTTTAATAAAATATATAGATAATATTTATCTAAATAATTTTTTTTAACCATCCAGATTTTACATATGTTTACCCCAAAATGTATCATCAATTTTGTTATCTAATTTTTGTTGGTACATTATATAATTTGTAAATACAGCGAAAAAAATGTTTAAATTTAATCACTGTAAGATAAAAAAAATAAATTTAAAAATGAAGATGTGCTAATAATATAAGACATTAATATCTGTATAAGAATGTTAACAATATCATATTCAACTCAAATACCACAAAAATTTTTTTTTAAAGTATGAAATTATTCGAAAAATTAAGTAAAATAAACATAATAAAAAAATGGGGGAGCTTGTTGCTAAACCGGAAATCACATCTGCAATATAAATGAGATTCCAGTTTTAACTTAAATAATTTTTTTAATCTTTTTGTTTTAGTTATATAAAAAAAAATATAGAAAGTTCAAGAAAATTATTTCGCTGCATTAGTGTTGGGGGGGGGGGTTTATTGGACTCCGACTTCACGATCTGACAAGCCACCAATTTAATGCATGAACACTTGATTTGTGGAGGACGGTAAAATCTTATTGTACAATATTTTCTTGTCTTCGAACGTGTTATTAATTGATTCAAAACTTGCTTGACCAATACATTTATTTTTAATTGTTCATTGTAAAAAATATCATTCAAGCCCTTCGATTTACTTTTACCTGCTCTTGTAAAACAGGTGTATAAAACAATAAAAAAAATTTCATATTATTTAGATAAGTATAATTATTTTGTATCAAATTTTTACTTCTAAAATATTTGCCCTAAAAGGACGATTGAATTATAAAATAAAATTTAATTTAATAAGATAAAATTAAATTTCAAACTTGACCTTATTTTTTATTATTATAAAAATAAAAGACTTGAATAAATGTTAAAAAAATATATAAAATACAAGAAAAAAAAATAAATTTTATGAATTAATTATTATAGAAAGTTTTAATAAGAGAGGCTTATTGGCCCTCCCTCTCCATTATAAATAATAATATTACAAAAAAAAATATAATTGACAAATCTTAAGTGAGGAACACGTTTCTCTCAAATAGTTAGCCACAAAGTTTATCAAGAGATTTTTCTTGAATCCTTTCAAATTTTCCTCAAATTACTTCCCACTCCCATAATTTTCGAAACTTAAAAAAAAATGTGTTTATAATTTTTTTGTTCTGTTTTTTATTCCAGAAATCTAAACTGAACTGTTAAATCGGTGTTAACTCTATTATTTACAGAACCAAACCAAAACCGTTAATAATTTTGTCACCCGAACCTCTAAGAAATATTCGATTGTGGTCGATTTTTGTAAATTTTTTTTTAGAGGATTTGCCCTAAAACCCCCTTTTCTCCTACTCCGGCTGGGTTAAATAGGAAAATTTATAGTATCAAAAAAATACTAATTACGGATTCATTTTTAAAATATTAATAAAAATACAGCGGGGATTTATTCTTTAAAATTTTTTTAATGGTATATCATTTTAAAATTTATACAAATTAGCTAATATGATATAGCCACTAAAATCCCGTCCTTTTATTGTTTATCAGACAAAACAACAAATTTAAGAACAGGGGAACAAATAGAAAGAGATAATTGAAATTTTTGATTTTAAAATTTCTCTTTTTGTTTTAATATAAAAATTTTCAAAAAATTATTTTTTTTAGAATATGGGAGATTTTGTGGAGCTTTTGTGGTATATTTCGGAAATTTAAAAAATATGGTAGTTGAATTGAGTGCATAGATTTCGACTTTTTAATAAAAATGGTAGTCTACTAGTTAATGGTATAAACCTGGCAACCCTATCTGTGAACCGGTTGGAACACTACTCTTTAAAAGATTATTAATATTCAATTTTGATTGATATTCGGTATTTTTATACATTTATTAATATAATAATGTTATTTAAAAGTACATTTTAATAAAAAAAATGAGCGAATACTATATAAATTAGTAATCTATAAGAATTTATTTTCTATTTATGATTCATGATATATAATATAATATGATGAATAATTTTTAGTTAACAAATTTTAATGAATACGGGTACTATTTAATATTAAGAGTTTGTATTTTATATAGAAGTAATTATGTTTAAATACGACAGAAATCGATTGAAGATCTAGACAATAAGAAAATTGATTAAAAAATATTTATCGGTCAATTGACCGAATTATATCTGACCGGTCAAATACACATCCCTGCGTAAAACAAATAATCTTGTATGAGCCACCGTCATCGGAAATAATAAAACACACAAGCATAATTCTCATAAAAATATTATTGAGTGGTCAATAAAATACCAGTATATTTTTAGGAAACGTCGTAATGTCGGCAAGCCAAAAAATTCAACTTTGAAGATTTATTTGAAAAAAAATCAGCTTGCCTCAAGATTTAGCGGATTATTTTTGAACCGACGCATCGAAAAGGAGTCGATTTTGCAACATTAATTTTATCGGGAGTTGATTGACCTTTTTTAAATATCGGATCAATCAATTTTTTGATAGATTCGATATCGATTTATAAGTAAATCTTATTTTTTATAGGAATTTTATTTAAAATCTTTTACTTGTCTTTTTTAAGGTTCTATTAATTTACTCATAAAAGACGAAAGATTCAAAAATTTTAAAAAATGTTTTTATCCCAACCTCATTGGATTTTCCATCCTATGTTTGTCATTCTTTTCAAGAGCTTGGTTAAGTAATACTATATATAGTCATGCATGGGTGAGCCTTTAAAACAATAGGTTGGCGAATTAAAATATTTATTAAAACAACTGGTGGGCGGGTGAGTTCAAAATATTTTAATGGCAAAATTATTAAAAAGATTGTTTATTTCAAAATTTCATAAATTCCAGTATAAAAAAATCACTACCAATAAAAATTTAGAACGAAACCAACTAATCAAATTATTTTTAAACAACGGGAGGATATAATTTTTTTATAAATATATAAGGCGGGCGGAAAAATTAAACAAAGCCACATCCGCTTGTGGGTTAAAACCTTCTGGTACAGATTTCTGAATTCCCACTGTCTTACTTACCTATACCTCTATTTACAAATTTTGCTGATT